GCTGCAAGGTTACTCACCTCTCACGCTACAGAGACGAATGTGAAAACTGAAGTTTCGGATGTGGTAAAATATTTTAAAGACTGCAGGTGACGCAGCAAGTTTCTATTTCCCCGTCATTACATTAGCGGGTTCAGTTTCGATTTTCTGTTCTCGCTGACATTTCTGGGGCTGGTGGCGCATATTTCGCTGTGACCAGCAGATGGTGACCCACACAATGTTCATGTTTGAATGGGCAGTTCCCGATAATGTCAGCTTAATGCAAACAACATCCCATTAGGGATATTGCTCACTTTTTCTTTCAAGTGTGAAGTGGAGGATAAAGGAATGATTATACTTTTAAGGCTGATAACAATTATCTGCACTTGAGAACTCACCAAAGAGAGTATTAAAAATGACTCAATCTGGAGGCACGTGTCACGTGAAATCTGGGAAATAGCAAAACTCGCTTGCATTCCTAAGAGAATTTACACACTTGCCTGAAAGAATGAAGCTCTGAACGAAGAAGAATTGGGATTTTCAGACTAATCTGAGACTAATTTATCATGGCATTAGTTCAGTAAGAGTTACGTCATAGATGAAGGTTGTGTGAAATACAAATCTTGACCCTATAACTAACACAGAATGCTGGAGAAACTCAGCAGACCCTGCAGCATCTGTGCAGAGAGAAAAAGAGAGTGAACATTTCCAGTGTGGTATGGCTCTTCTTCAGAACTGATCCTATAGTCTACTACCAGGAGAGTGAACACTGATATTCTCCTCTCCATATTGCTTTGGCTGCTTGCAAGGCCAACTCAAGAGGTTTCTGGAGGACCAGCTATTTTGATCTTCAATATTTAGCTTAAATTTGACATTATGAGGATTCCAGGAACGTGGCGTTTATGAAAATCAGTATGAGTGACAGTCAAGTCAACACAACCAAACCGACCAACTTTAACAAATCTACCAGTCCTGCAGTGATACAACACTGCTGGAGGCTTTAACAAGCTCACAGTCAAACCCTCACTCCTCAGCAGAAAGAGTCCCATCCATGAACAGTGCCAGACAATCTTCATGCAGTTGGAATCACATATACATCTTGGAAAGAAAGCTGGAAAAGCAAATGGACACTACCCGGGGCACAGAGAGTTTACCGTGTGACCTCTTAGAACTCGACAGTAAAAAGTGGAAGTGTTGTGATTGATTTATGTTTTCAAAAGTTCGAGAGATCTTCGGGAAAATGGAATTGTTTAGAGAGGGAGAGAGAGATAAGATGGGTTGGTTACTTTTCCGAGACAAACTGGTGGAAGGAGCATTGGGCTGCGCATTGCCTAGCTACAGCTAATTTGTCTGTTACTTTATGTTTTGCCAGAGACTGGGCAGTGGGGCATTTGCAAAGAGACTTCCAAGAATTTTGCAACAAAGACAGATCTCTCTGTATGGCAAAGAAAAAAAGATCCTGCAGATGTCAAAAGTTTGGCGAAGGAGCTGTGCTCTCATGCTTTCATTCTCTCCCCTTCTATCCCTGTGAGTAAAGACAGTGCTCAAAGTCTTTGGAGACTGAACTGCTAACTCAGTTAAATTCAGGGTCTGTGACTGACTGACCAACCAAAAGAAGATGTTGCCCTGCGGCCAACAGCAACATGATCTTATTGACAGAAACCAAAAGAATTGTGAGAAAGTCACCTCATTTCAACCCTGCGTTTGGGCTCTTCATACACAAGCTGTTTTCTTTTACCTTTCTGCCCCACCCATATCTCTGCAGAGCTGTATGCCTCTTCTTGCCCTGTCTGTGTTTGAATGTGTGTGGGTTTGGGTTTTAAGTGTTAATTTACGTAGTAGTAGTTGATAACCCATTTTCCCACGTGTTAACGTCTATTGATAATAAAAAAGCTTTTGTGTTTGCTGATAAAACCTGGTGGGAATCTCTGTTTTTATTCAAAATAACAGTTAAAGCTTGGTGATTCTGTTGAACATTTACATTTTGGGGACATGCCATTGAGGAGTGGGTGCTACTCAGTCTGCCTGGGACTTTTGGGTGGGAAGGGATCAGGTTCCCAGCAAAAGGCACAACTGAGTGTTGTCATCTTGGAGAGGGGGAATGCACACAGGGCACTGAGCCTTCATCAGAGTTGGTGAAAGCACAACATGCCCACTCTCAATTGCCTTCCACTGCCAACCATATGATAGCAACAGAGGCAGAGATAGACCAGGCCCCAAGTCGATAAATTCTGTTATTCATTTGTGAGAGAAGAGTGTGGATGGCTGGGCCAGCATTTATTGCCTACCCCGTAGTTGCCCTTGAGAAAGTGGTGGTGAGCTGCCTTCTTGAACCACTTCAGGCGACGTGCTGTATTTTGACCCACAATGCCCTTAGGGAGGGAATTCCGGGTTAAGGGTTTCAACGTGCTTAAATGTGGATGGGCCAGAGGAGACCAGAACCACTCACTGGGGTGAAAAGGAAGGCAGTGGATTACTAGCCAGTCATTTTTTACCCATTTCTGGCCTCAAATGTGCCTGCTGAGGGTGGGAGGGGGTGTGTGTGTGGTGTAAAGTTTCTGTAAAGTAATACAATGAAAATACAAAGGTTGTAGTGTATAAAATCAGGGATTTTATTGAAATTTCAATTGAACAGTTCATTTCCAACAAAACAACATATAATGAAGACAACAAAAGCTAGTGATTTAAAAAAAAATGCCAACTGCATCGACACCAGGTACAAATGTCAACTTGAAACTGGGTGGCAATACTAAATAACAATTCGGGACGCAGAGAGAAGCTTTTTTGGCCAATCAGGTTTATGTTCACTCTCAGTAGAGTGGTCCACTCAAATCCCATTCTGTCCTTGTATCCCTAAATGCTTATTTCCCTTGACTGCTTGTCCAATTTCCTTATGAAATCACTGATCATCTCAGCATTGACCAGGGCCAGCGGCAGAAATCCCAGGCCCTTCCCCTGGCCAAGTACAACTGTCCCTGGGTCCCAAGGAACCACCCTGTCCGAGATCTTGGTTTCTCCGAGTCATGGAGGCAGTGAAGTCCAGGGCCTTAACACCTTGCTAATAAAAAGATCTCCCTCACGTTGTCCACGTTTTCCTTGTCCAAAAGATCAGAAAGAGGAATGCTCATTTGAATGAAAGCACGCGCACACACACACCTTCCTCTCCTCCCCTTCCCTCTGACTCCACCCCTTCCCCCTGACTCCACCCCTTCCCCAACCTCATCCGCTGTCGGGTATTCACCATCCCTTCCTAACCTTCTGCTCTCCGATGTTGAACATTCTGACCTCAGCAAAGGCCTAAGCTTTATTCCTCCATTTCAACAAATTTCGGGCATAACATGACGTCAAACTCTTCTTCTGCCATCTTGGCCTCCACGCCCATTTCTTTGGACAAGCGTCCTCTCCCCGTCCCACAGACCCCTTCACCCAGTTCCAACACTCTCCATCCACCTGGACCCCTCCCTTTGGCCTTTTACCTGCACTCGATCTATTCGTTGAGAACGGTTGATGTGATATTGGTCACCTCAACTTCTCAGACCCCCTCGTCAAATCCAACCCATCTCCCTTTGAACTGACTGCACCGCATGCACTCAGGTTGAACCCTGATTTTTGTATTACACCTGCCGATAAGGGTGGTGCTGTTGTAGTCTGACGTACTGACCTCTACATTGCAGATGCTCAGCACTAGCTCTCAGATACC